AAAAAAAAAAAGGAAAAAAAAACCATTTTGTTTTTTTAATCCATGCCATGCACGTGGTCTGATTCTAAATGCATTTACAACATTCACGTGATATTTTTCGATTCACAAAAGCTACTCTTTTGATTGCTGTGCCATTTTTATTTGAAATATTTAGTCAAATATCCATTCTTAGTACTAAAATTATAAATAAATCCTACACTATTTAATTTCTATAAACAAACTCAAAAAAAAACCCAAAAAATGACAATTGGCCCTATTGAATTTAATTTTAATTATTAAATTACTTTGATGTCCTATTGAATATTTTGGGCTTGTTTATATGTTTTGGGGTTGAGTTTGTTTTGAGAAATCAATGACCGTTTTCTAATTTAAAAGAAGTTAAAAGCCTTTTTGTTATGTTATAAATGAGCTTTGGGTGTGTTTCTAAAGTCCATTTCATATATGTTATTTTTATAATTTGGGCTCCTATATTGGGTATATTAGTAAAAATAGGGCCGGGTTCGGGCCAGCCCATCGGGCCCGGGCTTTATTTACAGGCCTACCTGCCACCCAAGAAACACAACGATCAAAATGTATGAAGAAACGAGCAAAACAATTAACAAAAGAGTAGTCGATTCGTACACTACACATGCAAGTTGTTGCTTTATTTCTTTGTTGGGGTCCTTTCATGTCTATGGAAAACAGCAAAACAAAAGCAAGGCCACCCAACTAGAAATGATGATGAACAATACCTTACTAATTAGAGCCTTAATATAAACAAAATCTTGGTGTTTTAAAGTAAGGAAACTTTTGTTTTTGTGACAAACTATGATTTTCATGTTCGAGAAATGTCTCTTGCGAGGAAAGAAGGCAAGCAATTTGCTTAAAGTAAATAATTGTTTGAGCAAAATCAGGTCGAGTTTTGTTATCTTTGTATGTTTATTTCGATGAAGTCGCAAAAAGCATGCCTATATATTCCCGAGTGTTGTGATCTAAATTAACAAATCTTTTGTATAAAAATTCAAATGATTGTATCTTAAGAGTCACGTTAACATTAAGTCAATCCAAATTTGTATTTTGTCAAGAAGACAAAGTTCTATCAATATTTCAATACACACACCCTCAGAAATATTATTGCTTGTCAATCCAAATTGATCGAGCAGAATCTGTAAACCCACCGACAAGTAAAAGTCTACATCGACCTTTAAACCTGCGTTTTTCTTTTTCCATTTTTAGTACAATGGGATGATATTGACCTCATGTTTTGCTCAGTCAATCCAAAATTGATCTAGCGTCCTGTTCTTGGGAGCGAGATAAAGATAAAAATATCTTTTTACTTTTAATGTCACGTCCTATTGGAAGGAAGCATGGCCACCGGTAACGGCGGATTCATGATTTTCTCTGTAGGACATATAAAATAAAAAAAAAAATTAATATTTTTATTGTTGTCAAAGTTAGAAAGGAGGGACGGGAAACTCACGTACACAAGTGTATCATGGGGACTTCAACCAAAAAGCATATGGGAGTACACTAAAGACCTGAGCCACTCCAACTAATAATTCATTGGTAATCTAACCAATATTTAGTTAGGTATAAAATTTCAAACTTTGAATATTAATTTTAATTATCCGAGACGAAATCGAATCTTCATGTTGAAAAAATGTTGGATAATAGGGTTCATAATTGGGTTTTGCGCTGAAGGATAAGGCTTTCTTTATCATTTAGTGTACCAAATATAATTGTGGGGCCTGGGTATCTTAGCAAAATCTGCGAACGACTTTGTATTGATGGATAGTTCATGAAGTGTGGTAACTTTAAAAGGGACCTGGTAATTCTAATTCCCCAAAAAATGAAACCCTTTGAGGTGATTTTGTGAAAATAAATGTGGATGGAGGATGGATTGGTGACACTTTGAAAGGTGGCGTTGGTGTTGTTATTAGAAATACTGGTGGTCAATTTGTTGAGGGTTTAGCTAGTCCTATTTGCTGTGATTCAGCACTAGCTGTGGAAGCTCATTCAGCAATTAAAGGGCTTGCTTTGCCTGCTAACCTTGGCTTTAGAGACGTCATTGCGGAAACTGACTCAAAATTGCTCATCAATGGGATAAATGGTGACTTTAGAAACAAAGTGTGGTCCATTATGCCCCTCCTTGAGGAGCTTCACAGAATCTGTGGGTCTATGCATGAGGTTCGATGGAGCTGGGTGCATAGAGATTTAAATCAGGCGGCTCATGAGGCAGCCATGATTGGAGTTAGAGCTATGGAGCTGGAAAGCTGGGTCTCACGACCACCATTGTCTCTGGTGCAAGTTCTGGTCTCCGATGGACTCCCATGTCCTCCTTAAGTTTCTTTTTGTTTTGAGTTGAAAGTTTTTCTTTGTTGGGTTGTATGGATTCAGTTGAAAGGCTTTCAGTTTTGCTTTCTTTCCTTATTTGTAAGCTCTTTTGCCATTTTTCCAGCCTTGGAATGAAGTTTCAATCTTGACCAAAAAAAAAAACATAAGAATAGGGGTGGGGCAATGGAGTGAAGGTCGGCTCATCTCAAACTAGCTTTTGGTCATGTCGTAGTTACCCTCACTTAGTGTGAGAGGTCTCAGGTTTAATTCATATCAATATGAAAATAATAAATATTTATAATGAGTTCAATACCTAATTTTGGTTAACCCCATTGTAGTCGTATAGCTTTTTTGTGGGTGCATCAAAGCAAGGCCGCCTCATCTCCCTCATTTGAAGATTGGAATTAAAACTCATTAATTATTTACGTTGTAAAGAAATAAAAGCTAAATTTATTTTTCAATGGTTGGTTATGGGCTACTGAAAAAAAGGTTGATTTTTTTTTTAAATTACGAAAGAGGCCAAAAGTGAAAGGAGAAATGTAACTATACCACCCACTTGAACTCTGGCAATGGTTAGTTCCATAGCCTTTCCCCGTCCAAGATTTGGAAGAATGATTTTCCCCTAGTGTGTTCTTCTTCCTTTTATTTTGATTTGTTCGCACCTGCAAGCCCGCTAGGTTTTTTTTTTTTTGTAATTGAATTCTTTTTGCATTAAAAAAAAAAAATATACCACCCACTATAAATAAAAGTAGTGCTGTTGTGGTTAATTGGGTGTATTATGTATGAACCGGATCCCTCCTCTCGCATTCCAGACGAGAGAGCTCAAGTCTGATTGGCCTGATCCGTGTTTTTTAATAGGTGCTGAAACCAAAAAACATCCTTAGGAGGACTCTCAATGGAAAGGGGGCCGCTTCCCGCGAAGAAGTTCTCCAAAAAGTCAAGCCACCATTATTCAGTGATGAAGCACTAATGTAACATCCCACATCGACCAACGGAGAGGGAGTGTTCGACCAAAAAAACGGAGAGGGAGTGTTCGACCAAAAAAACGGAGAGGGAGTGATGTGCCTTATATGTACATGCCCACCTCCATCTAGCACGAGACCTTTTGGGAGCTAACTGGCTTCAGACTCTATGGAAACTCCGAAGTTAAGCGAGTTTGGGCTAGAGCAATCCCATGATAAGTGACCCACTGGGAAGTTGCTCGTGAGTTTCCAAAAACAAAACCGTGAGAGCGGAGCCCAAAGCGGACAATATCGTGTTACGGCAGAGCCGATCCGGGATGTGACAGAATCAATCCATTGTTGTCGTGCATAAGTATAAGTAGATCCAACCAAAAAATTTCAACATTAAACTTAACAACTATGGGGAGGGGGATTCGAACTCGGGTACAGAATAGGGATCACTTTCGCTTTAGCTAACTTGACTAAGCTCATTTCCGCAACTTCACAATTTACCCTTAAGTTCAACTTCAACATTAAAATCTCAACAAAAGCGTATAAAATAATTTTTTATTTTATTAATAATAATAATATAAAAAAAGACTTCTGAAACTCTGCACCTTTCCCCATAGTTCCTTCTTAAAAACAAATTTGTGAAAACCTACAACAATTATTGATGCTTAGGTGCAACCGATCAAATTTTTCGGGTCACATAAGTGAAATGGTACTTCATCAGCCCAAAACTTAACGGGCTAGCCCGGATAAAGCCCAGGCGTAATCCTGAGCTATTCTTTTCTTTTGAACCCAAATATCGGATCCTACCATTTTTGCTAACAGAAACCGGTCCGCCCGTGCTGGCCTAAAACCCTTGCAGCTCTCTCTCCCTCTCCGGCGCATCGCCGCTTTGCTGCGTTCAAAGTTTTCTGGGTTTTCACTTCTGATTATGATCGCCACAAAATCCAACTTTTTTTTTGTTAAACCCTAAAAATTCACAAAATTAAAGGAAAAAACCCGAACATTTCTCTGTCTGCTTCATCACCATGCTCTCTCGTCTGCTCCCCAAACCCTCCCATTTCTCTCGCCTAACCCTAATCTCCTCAAAGTTCCACCCACCTCCCCAACCCCAAAACCCTGTTTTCACTACCTTCGTGCCGAGGTTCTTCTCCAGTGACAATGGCAAGGGCCCCTCCCAATCCGATGTTTGGAAGCTTTCTCAGGAAACTGATGGAAAGTTCGACCCTTTGTTCGGTGAGAGCTCCGGGGACGTTTCCGGAGTCGCCGATTCCGGCGAGGCTGGCGAGGCCGATTCGTGGTTGAAAGAGAAAGGCGGGGAGGAATGGGAGACGGTGGAGGGGTACAAGCCTTGGAGCTTGGGAGAGGAGGAGAAGAGTGACTTGTTCGATATCGGTGAGGGTGTACAGACTGTTGCTGCAACCGACGGTGAGATTCGCAGGAGCAGTAGAGAGGAGATTGAGAAGGCTGAGGAGGCTAAGAGGCTTGAGAAAGAGGAGCAGGAGCTCACTGCTGTTCTCAAAGGTAGTTCCTTTTTGTTAATTTTGAGATAACAGTTTGATGTGAACACACATTTTGATGTATGTGTTCCAGTTTGAAATCATAGATATGGGAAAGAATAGAAAAGTTTATAGCTTAGTGGAACCACTTGTACTGTACTATTGCCTTTTTGGTTGATTTGGGCATCAAGCATTTGTATGTCTCCTTCTCTTAAGTTTGTTGAGAAGGAACTGATTGAAAGCTTGTTGAGACGTCTTTAAGTTTACCAAGCTATTTCTATCATTTTATGTCCATGCGTGTATTGTCTGTTTCGTTCTGAATCCTGCTTTTGAGAACTACTACTTGTTGAATCCATGGGAGAACGAGTTAAAATGAATACATATTTGCTTGGTTTGGATGTGTATTCCACATATGGCTTAAAACCATTTTTTATACTTTGTTGGAGTTATATTTTTTAAATGATACTTCACTTTGGCTGAAGTTGCTTATTCATTATTTGTGTTTTAACTTGATCAGTGATGTCCTGTGTTGACTGGAATAAGTTGAGTGATTCACATTTTTTCTTTTACTTCCACTTGTCAGGTGAATTGTTCAATTGTATACTGATTCAGTATGGTAATTGCAGGTCCAAATCGTGCATTTGGTGACCTTGTTGCTGCATCTGGAATCACAGATGAAATGCTTGACACTTTGATTGCATTGAAGGATTTTCAAGGGATAAATGGATTGCCCCCTCTAAGAGAAATAGAAGACATTCGTTATGAGAAAAATACCAGAAAATCCTCAAGAGCTGAAATAGAGCGCCAGAAACAGGAGGAAGTTGCAAAAGCAAGAGTAAGACAAGTAGACGACAAGGGGAGAGCTTATGGAACAGGAAGAAGGAAATGCAGTGTAGCACGTGTCTGGATTCAACCTGGTGATGGGAAATTCACGATTAATGATAAACAATTTGATGTCTATTTCCCAATGCTTGACCATCGTGCTGCCCTTCTTCGACCTTTCTCTGAGACAAAAACGTTGGGCCTTTGGGACATCGAGTGTACTGTTCAAGGAGGTGGCACCACAGGTACGCCTGAGTTTCGGAGATACACATCTTATTATGGTTTATATGTTAACTTCTTCCTTCATATTGACTTGTTTGAGATCCATTGCAACTGTTGTTTCCCTCCTTTATCCTTGAACTTGCAATTCATCACTTTCTATGCCAACAAACCACAGTGTTGTCTCACTACTTAGTACTTACACTGCCGACATCATGGAGAACAATTTTTGTCCAGCTCCATATGTTAGTGGACACTTTTTCTGCCCATATTCTTATGGAGTCATATGTTCAATTTGACTCCTTAAAATAGATGAAATGGACGTTAGTTAGTTTTTCTTCCAAAGCTGTAAGATTGCTGTAGTTGTTGGTTAGCTTTATACTTGAAACCAGATATATAAACAGGATGAGGCCAAAGAAAAAGATAGGAAAATCAGAGCCAAAATATCTTGACAGAAGTACAGACAAATTGATTGTAATACATTAAGTTTGTTTTATGCTACTTTGCTCTTCTTTATATTTACTAGTTGTGTACGAATATACTGTAACTTTGTGCAAATTGTTAATCTTAAAAGCACGTTAATCCATTGCATACGTCTGTTCATGGAAAATTAAGAGTGGTTTTTACAGGTCAAGTTGGAGCAATTCAATTAGGAGTAAGCAGGGCCTTGCAAAATTGGGAACCCGACTTGCGTCCTGCACTAAAAGATTGTAATATATTTCTCCTCCCCTTTGTGCGTTTGTCATTTCTAATTGATAGGGAGAAACAGATGCTAACCTTGTAAATTGTCAATTTGACTAATTTGTTTTCTTATAAATGATCTTTTATAGCTGTGTTGCTTTCTTGCTAATCCAGTTGTTCACTTGTCTTTCCAGCTGGTTTCTTGACAAGGGACTCACGTGTGGTGGAAAGGAAAAAACCAGGAAAAGCAAAGGCAAGGAAGAGCTTCCAATGGGTCAAGCGTTGATCAATTGTTGGGAGCTTGGTTTTCTACACCAGTATTGATTTGGAACTTAAAGTATGATTTACAGCAATAACTTGTTGAGATTCACTCTTATGGCCTTGCATGGCATTTGTAGGGGTAGCTTGTAACAGTCGATGAGTACTAGAACAATTTTGTAGATTATGTGATCCGAGAAGCATTTGAAGCTATATGATTTGTTTCTGATTCTTTGTTGCTTCCACAGCTTTAAGTTTTGTACTCGACATGATACTTGAGTTAGGTTTTTCAAGTGAGGTTGATAGCATTTGTATGATTTCTTATTTATTTTTGGCTTAGTAATTGCATTGGTGTATGAAATTACAATGTATTACGAGACAAAAGTAATTGATCAAAATGTCGTTGCAAAAAGCAAACAATATTTACAATTTGAGATCATATTATTAGAGGTTGAGTAGATCAAAATATTTTGGCTTAACCATGTGGTTATGGACAACAATTTATCAACCGCAGACCCTTTAACATCCAACAATATGTCAAGGAAACAGCCACATGCTTGGCTGCGATTAAAAGATGCCTCCAAAGAAGCAACAATGCAATATTGGGTATAACTACAATCTTCATTGGCTATGCATACATCAAAACCCTTCATCATCTTAAAGGGCTTACAACCCAACCTGTGATCGGACTCTGCCTACGAACTCTGACTCTCCTATGTGAACCACTCTGCAATCGTTCAAGCACGGCATATGTAATCGAATCCGGTGTCAGCCCCTGCTGCTTAAGCTTTGCATACAGATCCACTGCCTCAGCAGTCCTCCCACACCTCTCAAGACAGTCGAGCAAGATGTTGTATGTTACAATGTTAGGGTAGCAGCCTTGAGCAAGCATGTCCTCGAACAACCTGCATGCCATTTCAACCCTATCTGTCTTGCCGAAGCACTCGATGAGAGTGCTGTAGGTGACAACATCAGGGCTAAAACCCTTCTCTTGCATCTCCTTAAACCTCATGTGGGCTTCATCCACATCACCATTCTTGCCAAGGCAGTTAATCAATGAATTGTAAGAGATGATATCAGGTTTACAATCGCTGTTCTCAAGTTGTTCAAATATGGTCACAGCCTCATCAACCTTCCCAGCTCTACCATAGCTCGAAATCAGAATATTGTACGTAAATATGTCAGGTTCGGGGCCATCAAGTTTCATCTTTTCATACAGTTCACTGAGATGAGATATCTGCTTCAACCTTCCAAGAGCTGACAAAACTGTGTTGTACATCATAGTATCAGTAGTTACCCCTTTCTCATGAATGTTACTCAGCATGTCAATGGCCTCCGCGGTTTTACCAGCACTACACAGACTCTCCAACATCGACACGTACGCGTCCCGATCCCCTCTGTCATGGAAGCTCCACATGTTGCAGAACAGCCGGTGAGCTTCACCGGCATGACCCAATTTACTCAACGTCCTCACAAGATACGCGTATATTGACTTAGTCATGTATTTCTTCGACATCTCCACCACCTTATCAAACCTACCCAGCTGCCCTTCAGCAACCAAAAGATTCAAAATCACACTGTACGTAAACTCATTAGGCCTGCAATTGTTCTCCACCATTTTTGAGAACACAATGATGGCCTTCTCAACCATCTTGCTCCTAGCAAGAGCCTGAATCATAGTATTGTAAACAATCATATTAGGACTGCAACCCTTTGTTATCATCTCCTGAAACAGCCCCAGAGACTCGTCACCTTTGCCCAATTTCCCACTCATTCTGATCATGATCGTGTACGTAAACTCATCCGGCTCGCAATGCTTCTTCTTCATATCATCAAACACCTTGTATGCATGCTCAACCTGTCAAATGTTCTGCTGCACATCAGAAAATCAGAAACCCACAAAAACCCACATCGAATTCAAACGTGAGTGCAACGAGAAGGTCATATATTCAATTCATTCATTCAAATTCCAAACCTTTTCGTCTTTGGCTAGCGCATCCAACAACATGTTGTAGCCAAAAATATCGAGCTTATAACCACGACGCCGCATTTCGAGATAAGTATCGAAGGCTTTGGTGGAGTCGTAAGAGCGCAAGAAGGCCTGAAGCAAGCACTTGTAAGTGTAGCAGTTCATGTTGAGACACCATTTCTTCACTAACCCAATACACGTCTGCAAGTCTTCAGTGTCGCCGAACAGGCCTATGAGGATGTTGACGGTGGAGATGTTGCCGCGTATGTTGGAGCGGTCCATGTCGCGGAGGATCGACCGGGCGAGGTCGAACCGGGCAGGAGAGGTGGACTTGGAGAGAATGAGGAGGAGGCGGTTGCAGGTGTAGGGGTCATGGTGGAAATTCGGGGAAAGCGAGGGGCAAAACCGGAAGAATCTAATGGCGAGGTCGGGGCAGTTGAGGGATTTCAGGATTTCGGAGGCTTCGGATGGGGTGAGGTGGAGGGAGAGGGAGGAGAGGTAGTCGGAGAGGTCGGAGAAGGGGTCGGCCGACGTGGCGGAAGGTGACTGGCGGAGGAGGATTTGGGTGGCTTTGCAGATGAGGTCGCGTCGCGGGAGAGCGTAGCCGCGGATGTCTGTGGGGAGGGGCGGTGGTGGGGTCACCTCGGCGGAGACGGAGAGGCCCGTTGGGGAGGTTGAGGTTATCTTGGCAGTGTACTTCGTGGCGTAGTGGCGGCGCATGGTGGGAACGGCGGTGGTTGAGCGCGTGGGTTTGGTGAGGCCGAGGAGCCTCAGGTGGCGGCGGGGTGTCATGTTGTGGCGGTTAGTGTTAGTTTGGTGTTGGAGTCGTTATGCTCGGAGAGAGGGACTGGGTTTGGTTTGGACTGGTTTTTGTTGAGGGGTTGAAGTAAACGACGTGTCGTGTTGAGTGAGGCAGAAAATTTTGGATAACAATTATCAATGCGTAAAGACAATTGATATTTGATACGGGTTCACCGTAGATTTTAGATTTTAGTTTTTAGTTTTCATTTTTTGTGTTAGAGTATAGAGGGAAATGAAAGTGAGAGTGGAAGTGAGAGAGAGGATGAGAGGGGAGAATAGAAGGGAGGAGTAAAAAAAATGAAAAAAATTTCAAATAGATTTCAGTTTTTAGTTCTAGTTTTCACTTTTGTTACACCTTCCTCTCATATTCCCTCAATCCTATCTTTACTCTCATTTTCACTTCCTTTCTCTCTATTTTTCCTCTATACTCTAGCACAAAAAATAAAAAATAAAAACTAAAAATGAATTGGTTATTAAACGGGCATAAAATATAGCGTTACACTAACGTGAAATGAAAATAGACAAAAGGTTAAAGGAAAAAAAAAACTAACACTCATTAGTATAAATACAATCCACTTGAGTTACAAATCCCTTATGAATGTTGCAAATAAAATTGGGAGATTTACTATTATACCCAATATAGAAGCCCAAATTATAAAAATACCCTGTGGAAGTGAGAGAGAGGATGAGAGGGGAGAATAGAAGGGAGGAGTAAAAAAAATGAAAAAAATTTCAAATAGATTTCAGTTTTTAGTTCTAGTTTTCACTTTTGTTACACCTTCCTCTCATATTCCCTCAATCCTATCTTTACTCTCATTTTCACTTTCTTTCTCTCTATTTTTCTTCTATACTCTAGCACAAAAAATAAAAAATAAAAAATAAAAATGAATTGGTTATTAAACGGGCATAAAATATAGCGTTACACTAACGTGAAATGAAAATAGACACAAGGTTAAAGGAAAAAAAAAAACTAACACTCATTAGTATAAATACAATTCACTTGAGTTACAAATCCCTTATGAATGTTGCAAATAAAATTGGGAGATTTACTATTACACCCAATATAGAAGCCCAAATTATAAAAATACCCTATTGAAATGGACTTTAGAAACACACCAAAAACCCATTTACAACATAACAAAAAGACTTTTAACTTCTTTTAAATTACAAAACTACCATTAATTTCTTAAAACAAACCCAATCTCAAAATCTCATAAAAAAGCCAAAAACACTCAATAGGGCATCAAAGTAATTTAATAATAAAAATTAAATTCAATAGGACAAGCTGTTATTTTTTGGGTGTTTTTTGGGTTTGTTTATAGAAATTAGATAGTGTAGGGTTTATTTATAGTTTTAGTACTAGGAATGGGTATATGACTAAATATCTCAATAAAATTTAACCAAACGCATTGTCTTTTAAATCATAGGGCAAAGTACTTTTTCTGAAAAAAAAAAAAAAAAACTAAAGTTGAAAAATGGAGTTGATTGATAAATTGGGAGAGAAACAGAGGGAAGTAAAACAATGAAAAAGGTATTAATCCGTTAGTGAAGAATGAAAAGGTATTAATCTGTTATTTGTAATAGAAAACTACAGAACCAGATTATTTTTCTTTATATTTCACTTTGTATAGATTGTAGCATTTTTCTTTTCCTTTTTTGTCAGAGATTGTAGCATTCTACATGAATACCACAAAATAATACTATGAATCACACCTTGTGTAAAAATAAAAAAAAGTTGAATAAGTTACGCTATTCTTTTTAGTTATTTGTTCTTGTTAGTTATACAACACAGTGCCTCCACGGAAGGGTTCATTCTCCAAGAAAATGAAGCAATGCAAAAGTTTTACATCCCAAAAAGATTGAATTATACCCCCATTATGAAATTAAATCTGGTACTCCTGCTGAGCACAAACTTCAACCCCAGAAAAGGTTGAAAAGAAAATAATCAAATATTAGTATGGTAAAAGGCAAAGGTTGTGTCTCTCCCATTGAGAGAGAGGGCGGGGAGAGAGAGAAATACATAATATTGGCAAAATGAATCCTGATACATTGCAATTTGGATCAAATTTTTCCTCTCAAAATTTTATTTCGACAATGCCGACAAGGCAAATAACTTGGAGTCTTAAGAAGCCATGTGATTCAAAAAAATTATAGCGGAGACACCTCTCATTTTGCATGGAAATGTCTGCTAACTGATTCGTAACTGGGGACATTCGAAACTGCCACAACAACAGGAGGGGTTAATTTTCTCATCCTTTAATCAAATGATAGTAATATCTCAAGATGAGATCAGTGTAAAGCATTGGAAATTTACCATTGCCAAAGGATGCCATTGTTAGAGGTGAAGAAATAATCTTTTGCGCAATTGTAGTAATATCTTTCAAACTCACTTCTTCTACTGTCTTCAAGAAATGCTCCACAGGTTTCCTGCAATGGTTAATAATCACCGTATAGCTTAGCATGTCACAAGAAACACTGTAATGCTTCAATATTTTAAAATTCTACTAAACCATAAAGAGGCTTAAGTAAGGCCTATCAAATAATGTCATACCACCAGAGTGATGTAAAATAAATAGAAAACCAAAAAGGTAAAGATATTTGAGCAAGAGGATTGAAGTGAAATAAGGAAAAATGGTTCCATCTAGATATTGCACACCTCTCTCCGTATGTCAAAACCTGCCTCCCTATGTCCTCTGATGCAATCATCTGCAAAATGAAAATAAAAGACCCAAGAATTATGACCAAACCTCAAACAACAAATACTGTAATGTGTGTGTAAGAGAACCATTATAGTAGTATAATTATATGAGGCAAGGAGAAATGGAGTTCAAAGACTCAACACAAGAAAACAAGAAGATTCTGTGTATGTGTGCGTGAGAGAGAGAGAGAGAGGGAGGGCATACTCTAGATTCTAGATTCATTAAGACTGCAGCCTTTGTGGACTCCTTGGCACGTTTAAGCTGTACGTCCGTAACTGCCGACATGGAAAAAAGAAACTTAGCAAAGAGAAACATAAATCAGAAATCTTTCAACCACAAGAAGAAAAACAAGAAAATGCAGAACAAACCTTGCCCAGGTGTTGCAATTGAAAGTAATTCTTTAGCTGCTATATCAACTAGTTCTGATGCAAATTCATTGGTCTACATCCAAAAATAGCAGCAAAAGAAAATTACTCTAAAAATTAAGAAGCGTACTTTAATTATATACCAAACAACATTATAAGCCGAATGATGATTCATATCACATAATACAAAACATGATGATTCCCCCAACTAGACCACTTTGATGAAATCTCCCATGCAAAATTCTAGATCCAATAAAAGTTCACTTTCCTTATGTATAGAAAAGCCATTGTAAATTAGCTTGATTGGAAACTTAGCTCCAATATGTGAAAATTCACATCATAAACTCAAGTTAAATGCAGAAGAAAAACGTCATGCACAATTCCAACAGAAGATATCAACAGCCGGACTTGAAATTAAGATAACAAAAATCAGATGGATGTCAAATTGATAAACCACATAATGGGTCTATCTTCTAACACAAAAAGACTGTCCAATTCATGCACACCCAACATGCACAGGCACTACCCCAGCAATCTATCCAACAAAATGCAAGCCACATTAACCATGAATATTTAGAACTAAAGGGTGGGCCTTACAGTGCTAGCATAAATGCCAAACAACCCAGAATCATTGAAGATGCTGTTGAAGGCAGAGAAGGACTGAATCTCTTGAAACTCATTCAAAACGCGGAGATCTGTTGTCAAATGATAGTAATGATTAGTGAAACAAGAATACATACATATATATACAGTAATTCTCTTATCCGGATGTCCGCACATTATTAGAAAGTATAGTTTAAGGGGTTTAAAAGTATTGCATGTACAGAAAGAAGGAGAATCATAGTGAAAATAATCAAGATATATATATACACAGTTATTCTAGGGGCGAGTGAGGAGGGATGTTATTCTATACAGTTTCTGTGTATATGCCTCTTAAATTACACACGAGCAGACTGCGGATTTAACACCAGATATCAAACCTGCTGCATTCTCTTGTTTAGGAGGGACGGGGTGCCAGAAAAACAAGAAATGAAAGAGGTAAATAGAAAGTACAGTTTAAGGGGTTTAAAAGTATTGCATGTACAGAAAGAAGGAGAATCATAGTGAAAATAATCAAGCAGTCTAGCTAATTAACAATAAACTAGAAAACAAAACTTAAATAGCAAAGGAGGAAAATCATAGTTAAAATAATCAACCATTCAAGCCAATTAACAATAAACTAGAAAACCTGGGTAAAACTTACATAGCCTTGAGTGCATCCCCTTTCCAGGTCCCCCGGCAGAGAAAGAACCGCCACCTCCCATAAGCAACTGCAAAATACAAAAGTGTTATTGTCATCCAAGCATGGCATAGTCTTTCTTATGATCATATGTCACTAAGAACGTAATCCAGAGAGGGGATATATGATACGAAACACAGAAATTCGTCAAACATAATTTATTTGACATGCATGAAATCTCATAAACATTCCACAGATAAATGTGAAACCTGGAGAACCGTCAAAAGGATGGCTTGCTTCTCTTGTCGCCAGCCACCGGGAACTTCAAAAGCAAGAGCTATATGGGTCTCCTGGCACAAGAGGAATATAGCAGATAAGCACGCTAGCAGCAAAATTAAAATATGAGGAATAAAAGTAGACAAGGAGAACCAACTCTGAAGCTGTGAATGAGCAGAAATACAAACCGATGGACTAGCTTGAAGACGATACTCTCCTCCGACATATTTAGATTGTGGCTCCTCCGAGCGGGGCCCACTAGGTATGTCAGAAAGAAGTGGTTCTGCGATAGATACAATCTCCTCATGATCAACTCCCGAAGCTGCAAGAACAATCCGACGAGCCGTATAATTCTCCTGAAATTCCCATATCAGCCACCAGTCAGCAGCCACACCACACAGCACATGGATATAAATAAGGATTTTTTATATAAAAAGGTTAAGGAAAAGTAACCAAGAGCGCAGATTATTTATTCGAAAATAATAACTAATATTTCGCATGCAGTATTCAACGGACTTTTAGGATAAGGGATAGTTGACTTGAGCATGCAGTATTCATAATATTTTTTTTTATCTTACAGCAACAAAATCCTCCAAGACCCTGCCATTCAATCTGTTCAGTGCTGCTTCCGAAGCCAGAAGAGGATTTGCCAGTGCACCAGAATAACCAGCAGAATGAATTGCCTCCAGGAGTAAGCCCTGAGGATTGTTAGATAGTTCACCAATCTCTGCCCGCACCTTCTTCAGCTGTACAAAAAAAATTCTACAGAATATGAACATATGGCAAAGTTAAAGTTTTTGAAAAATTGACAAAAATAACCATGTATGGAGACCAAAACTACAAAATTGTTTTGATTGCATTCAAGGTTATAGAAAAAGATAGAGACAATATTTTTTTATAAATTCATAAAAAATTCCAATTTTAAAGAATATGCTGAAATTAAACTTTGCTAATTATCCCAAATTTGATTGGACTTCTCTCTTTCAAATGCTCAAACTATTTATTGCAAGAGGTATATTTCATTGAGTTAAGTTCAACCTTCCATCACCCCAAATTCCTCCCCTCTTACCAAAGAATGGGGAGACTTATAACGAACTTTAGAAAGGTAAATGAGTGTACCACAGTATTTTTTTTTCAAACAAACAATCCTAAAATGATGCCCATTAACTTTCAAAGAATACTGATGAAGAAATTTTACCTCTTCATTGACCTCCCATTCCAAGAAGGCAGGATTCCTCACTGCGTCAACAAGCAGTTCCACCATTTGAGGAACATAGGTTTTGATAGCATCAAAAGTGTATCCCATTTGCTCCCTAGAGGCACTGGCTCCAATGTGACCACCAATTGCTTCCACTTCCCTCACAATGCGTAAGTGGCTCCGGTTGGTTGTACTCTTAAAAGCCAGTCGCTCTAACAAGTGTGAAGCCCCACTCGACTCGGGTGTCTCATATATGGAACCGGAATCGACATACAATCCAATGGAGGCCGCAGGACTCTGATTTGTCAAGACAAGAAGAAACAAATCAATCAACAAGATTGAACAGTAAACAAAGAAGGGGGTACATTAAAACAAAGTACAGCTACATCATAACGACTCTTACATACCGGTGATGTTTCTGAAGCTATTTTAACACCATTTGACAGAGTTGTAATCTGAGTCTTGCTTGGCTGAACATGATCAGGTAGTGGAGGAGGGAGGTTAACACCTGGGAGTTGGGTTTCCAAAGGAGGAAGAGTACTGGAGCTTTCCCCCGTCAGCCAGCTAAAGATACCCCCTGAGGCTGGCTTTATAGCAGCTGCACTTGTTGCAAACCTGGTGGCCCCCAAATTTCCGGCACGGCCCTATTCAGACAGTGAATAGTGCAACATGGAACAGTCAATGCCACCATGTAGATAATCAAGAACAAAAATTGTTTGTATCTAGTAACTGCCCTTAATTTCTCCAAATAGATTTATATTTATTCAGAAACTAAATTTTAGGATCTGTACCAATCAAGTTAAAATACACGACACCAACCCGATAATAAGAAATCCATCTCTCTAAATTTACAAAAATAAATACATAAATAAATCCAATGTGACCAAGAAGCATAAGTGAGACTTATTCGAAAAGAGCACCACAATAGAAACCAAGAACAAATTCACCCAGAAATGCATTCAACAACGCCTGAATTGGGTCGAGTTAGATTTCTCATTTTAAACAGAAAAAGCAAAAGAAAAGTACACATAAAACATGAGGACCATAAACTTATATCCATTATATTACTCCAATTCCCCAGCAACCAATAAAAATGTCAATACAACATTAAAAAAATCATCACTTGAAGCTACAAACAAAATCTAATTAGACTAAAATGCTATAAATTCGCATTAACCAATCATTTTATAAAATCAAATCAAATGTCATAAAAATATTAGAAAATACATAAAATAAAAACCCAGTAAATTTAAGCGCGGATCTTAAGAACCGCAGATTCATCATCCAACATGATTTACATTTCCTCTTGGGAACTATAAAGGAAGTTAGGGTTTCGGAGGACGCAGTTTGGTACTGACCTTGAGAGCCCTGAGTCGTGAGGCTGCTTTGTACATGGTGATGTAGCTCAGATTGATTGAAGCCCTAGAAACCTATTGGGGATTTGCAGGTCTCTCTGTTCTCTTTAAAGGTTTGAGAACAACACAAGAGTGGAGGCTGTTGAAATAAAAGAGCGTTCAATCTGGTTTTTTTTTTTTTTTTTTTTTTTTTTTTTTTTTTTTTTTTTTTTTTTTTTTTTTTTTTTTTTTTTTTTTTTTTTTTTTTTTTTTTTTTT